CGACATTTCTTGCACGGGCCCTTGGCCAAACAAAGTGGAACCTTGCCAGAATCACTGTCAATTTTGTTTGGGGCTGGTGGCTGTCTTAAGCTTAACATTTGATCGGTTACTATGGTAAAGGCGCAAGATTACTAAACATGACTTTGATCATTATGCGCGGCGGCGGCGCCTCAGGAAAACTGGAACGTTGAAGAGCTCGAGAAGACCAATCCAGAGGAGGCCTCCGACGATGACATTGTGTTGCTTGTGAAGGAGCACATGAGCAAGACCCACTTATCACAAAACCCCATGGTGGTTTTGAAGAAGTCAACACTTTCGGCTGGGGCCATGCCGCTGACAGGTCCTGAAGGTCTTGTACCTCGAAATGCTTTGGCTGAGAAGTTGCAGAAAGAATACTTGAAAACAGCAATGTTGGTCTCAACACCGCCTTGGTTTTTGGAACGTGCCGCCAGCTACCTCACCAAGTGGGTTGAAGACAATGTCCAAGAGGTGCAAAAGGCAGCTCCGCGCTTTGTTTTGGAGAAGGTCTCGATCACTTGTGGGGAGTCAGTTTTGACTGAATGTGAGCGCTTCCAAGAGTTTGCCCCGGACCCGCCCAAGCCCATCAAAGCAAAGCCTGGTCCACCAGCTGTAGCTGGGCCAGCCCAGCCAATGAGAGTCGGTCCTCGTGCCAAAGCGGCTTGCAAGGCGAAACCACAAGTCAAGGCCAAGGCGAAAGGCAAGGCCAAAGCCACCATGAAACGGCCAGCGGCGGCTGTGACTTCAGACTCGGAGCTTTGACTTGAACAGCCTAATATAATAATGATTATTGTTAGTTTTTGGTCTCTAGGGGCAAACAATGTTTTCAAGCTTTCCAAAAAGTCCAGCGCCTGCAGCCTTCATTTCGCTGCAGGAAATTCCTGGTCCTGCGCGACGACCAGGGCGCCCACCAAAAGTCGTGCAAGATCGATTGGGCTGTTCCAAGTGTCGCTTCTCGGTGAATGGTTGCACTCGATGCCGTGATCTACATCAACGCTACACACAGCAGCGTAATGATGGCTGAGTTATGAGCCGACTTGAGTCGATGCCCGAAAAAGATCTATAATGCCTAAAAAAGAACTTTCGGGCATTCAATTTTGTTTCCATTGATTGCAGCGCAAAACACAGTTTTGAGGAAATGCCTTCAACTTGAAAGTATTACTCTAAATGCAGTTGTGTTGAGTTACTTGTTGTTTGCGCTCCCTTGAAGCTTTAATCGCAGCGACCATCGGTAAGAGAAAACGCCCGAGTCCTTGTCTTCGATTCCAAACCTGGCCTAAGAAAGATTCAGTCGTTCGAGATGCCAAGTGTGGCGCGTGTTGAATGGAATTGACGTCCGTGCATGACCCTGAACCTTTTGCCTTGTGAAGTCGTATTTTGTTCAGAAGCAGTTGCCACGTGGCTGTACAACAGAGCCAGTCTTGGGTCCAGGGCTTAGTCAGCCCATGCAATTTTCACAAAGGTTTGGAATTAAGAGCCCAGAAAAGTATCGGATTTCCATACTAGGGGTCAGTTGTTTGAATATTGAGTTTAGTCCTCAGGTCACGATGTTCAATGACAATGGTAATGACCTTGAAGTCGACCTTCCGACGTCTCCCTCTTCTGAGTCCAACTTGGTGCCCAGTGACAATGATGATTCTCAACGTGTTCTGGAAGGCGACGTCCATCTCCCAAGCCTGCCTGAGTCTGAGTCAGAAGACGGTGGCAGTGAGGTTCAGGACCCAGCTCCCAAGAGATCCAAGAATGATGCTCCTGTTCGTGTGCATACTTTAGTCGGAAATTTCAAGGCTTTGGAAAAGGCCATTCTGTCGAACCCGAAGCAAGTGCAACCTATCCCGCGACAGTTGGTCTCCGAAGTCTTCTCCCCCCCACGTGTCACTGCAGTGGCTCAATGGTGGGCACACAACGACGATGCAATCTTTGCATTTGATATCACCTACAATGGGTGGGATTGCCTTGATATGCACATGCGGGCCCAATTGAAGAAGATGATCCATGCTTTGCGTCCCAAACTACTTGTTTTATCACCTCCTTGTACCATGTTTAGCGCTTTGACAAGGACAGCTGTGCCAAAAAAATCTAGAATCTACATCAAAAACGTTTGGTCTTAGCATTTGCCTTGCTCAACCTTCCAGGATGTGGAATGTGAAGCTGTGGACCGAAGAAGAGTACGACGACCGGATGGCTAAGGCCGAGCTGATGTTCAACTATGCCCTTGAACTATGCGAGCTCCAATCTTCAAAGCAGTTGGGCTTCGCGCTGGAGAACCCAGTAGCGGCTTCATCATGGAACCTGCCAAGGGTCACCGATGCGCTCAGGTTGCAAAACACCAGGTTTGTCAATTTCGACCAATGCAGGTTGGGATTGACATCACCGCTTGGTGCCCCAATCAAAAAACGGACTCGGTTTCTCACGAATGCTGCGCCTGTTGCCCAAACATTCAGCTTGATGCAATGCAACTGTACGGTACCACACACAGTTGTGCAGGGGCAGGAACTCGGCCATTCCTTAAGTACCTGGTCACAAATCTACCCCAGGGGGCTGTCAACGGCCCTGGTTCAGGCAGCCGAAGACCTGCCATAGACTGATTTCAGGCGCCTGGAATAGCCCAGAAGCGCAATTTTGACTTGGCTTTGAGCTTGGGAAAAGCAGGGGAGAAAAAGAGAGAGAGAGAGAGAGAAAAAGAGACAGAAATATATATAAAAAAAACAATTCGCAAAACCACCACATCTTTGGTGACAGAATCTCACTCCCGGAGATGTGGTGAAAAAATTTTTTTTCGTGATAACTTTCCAGCAACACTCTGAATCCATCATATCCTAGGTCTTACATCTTGTACCCAAGGATATCGTGAAACCTAACCCACCCCACAAAGTTATCACGAAAAAAATTTTTTTCACCACATCCTTGGCGGCAAGTTGTGTATCTCTGAGTTGTCATGGATTTCAATAAATGTTTTTTTTAATCTTGCACTGAGTTTGAACTCGACATTCTCAAGTGTCTCGATGTCGATCTGTCAGTCAGTGGGCAACTTGAGAACTCAAGTGGTGGAAGTTCCCGCCAGTGCTTTTTCTTGCGCCATGGGGGACATGGAGTCGCTTGACGGGTCCACTGAGTCTGCTGGCCTCTCCGTGGCAGCAGCCTGGGATCTTGACGAACATCGCCCTGCCAGTGTTCATGTTGAGGTTTTCCAGAAAGATCCGGGAGGCCATGACAAAGATGCTCAGTGAGTTTGGTGGCCCAGAAAACTACTTGAGGATCCGATTTGCCAGCCAGGATCAGTTGAACGAATGGCTCAACTACTTGGTTCACCATGTTCCGCTGGATGCGAGCGATTTCAATTTCTCTGCGGACCTGCCTGTGACCAACTTGAGCAACATGAGTCAGGCAGCGGGCCTGAAACTCGCAAGTGTCGAATGCTGTGATGATGCACTCCTTTTCAAACGAAAGCCAGAATGTATATAGGCCAAACTAGAAGTGGTCTAGTAGTGATTCTGTTACCAACACAAGCCGAGAGGATGCATCTTAAAAGTTGTTACTTTGGGGGGTGCCCTTTTTGAGGGCTTCTTTGAGTTTATTTACACCGAAAAAGGGCACCCCGCAAAAAGTAGTTATTTTTCTCGTGGCTTCTTTTGAATACCAAGCTTTCAAGTTGCCATAAGGCATCAGCGCTCGTACGCCTGATTGACCAATCTTGAATGGGTGAAGCAAGCCGACCAATAAGATATACCACGTTAGTTTTAAAGGGGGATGGTGATTGCAATTTTCCACTTGGGTCGGCCTGCGAAAAAAGACCCCCACAAGTCCAGGTCAACCTGCCTGAAACGCAGGTTTTGAAGGGTGAAAGCCGGACTTGTGGGGGTCCTTTTTCGCAGGCCAATCTAAGTGGAAAATTGGCAGATGGTGAAAACACCTTTAAGGGCAAGGTTTTGGAGGTGTCCGTTTTGGATCTTTTTGGAGGCTAAAAACGGAAAAAGCCGGACACCTGCCAAAGGTGTAAAGTTCGGGCGGTGTGTGACATGCACAGTTCTGCTTGCAGGCGCAAAGTTTCAGGGTTCACCCGGCCATGTTTTCTTACGCGGCAGAGTCTTCCATCAAGGGCCCGGCTGAGAATGACACGGTGCTTTTGATGCTGGAGGAGATCTTGACTGATGGTTTCATGACGGCAAACGAACCCTTGCTTTTGATTCAATCAGAAACTCTGGCAAAAGGCCACCCAGAGGCTCGGTGTCAAATCCAAGAAAAAGAGAAATTGTTTACTTCAGCATCTTCCCACGAAAGCCAATCGCCAGTCTTGTTGCCCAGTCAGTCTTACTTTAAAGGCCCAATGTTCTCCATGTGCTAGTGGGTACACTGCCAAAAATTGTTTGCCGGTCAGTTGATTTCCGCGCCTTGGCGAACCAGCTCTGGCACTGCGCTTCCATTCACCTTGGGCTATTTCAAGGGCAAGACCAGGGTGGCTGTATTGATGAGCCTACTCTCAATTGCTAGGGACCTCAAGCTCGACAATTGGGCAGAGGCGCCTTGTGCATGGTCATCTGAAATAGTTGGGAACTACAATAATACCAACAACTTCAACAGCAACTTCAAAGTATATAATTGTTTTGGGTATTGGACTGTCCTGACTGATTTTCATGACCGGAAAATAATTGATTGAGGGCTCACGGTCAAAATCATCAAACTTTGCGCCAGAACCACCCCAAGCTGCTCGACAGCATCCGCAACATTCATTGTGTGCGAGTGTGGGTCTCTTCAAAGCGCGAAGAAATGCTTGGGAACTATCTCCGTGCGAAACTCCATTCGCAAAGCGCCGAATATCATGTTCGGGCCTAAGATTGAATAATGTTCAAAGTGCAGAATCGCATGAAACAAGAGAAAGGCGGTTGGAAATCTACGATTGAAATCTTCATGGTGTGTTCTTGAACATTGGCTTCAATATCTTGCCCCTGCCAAGTACCTGGGTAACAACAATAAGCAACCTGATGACGCATGAGCCGAACCTGGATGTTGCCCAGTTGGTGTCTCGCTAGAGGATGACATTTTAGCAAAATTTTCTTTATCAGTCCACATGCCTCACAAACTCTTGAATCTCTTTCACATGTCCCGGAGGCAAACGAAATTCATCCTTCCCGAGCCAAGTCGCCAGCTGAGGTACGAGACAACAATCGGCAGGCGTCCAAGACGGGACAACTCCTTGGCATGAAGGCTCAGGCGGTCAGAAACATCATGGAGCACTTTGACCGAGAGGCTCGGAAGCTTCTGATAGACTACACGGTCAACGTTGGACATGAGAACACTCCATGGACCGATGACAACCTTAGCTCCAAGAAGTGCCTACCGGGCTTCCAGTTCCTTGGTGTCATCGTTGCTTCAACCTTTAACCAACTTTCTATTGAGCTCAAAACAAAATTTGGGAGGCCTTCAAATTATAGAGGAGCAGGAAATTCATAAAAAGAAAACTTTGGGCGCTGCTGAGGTTCAAGTCCAACGCTGGGCCGGTGTGGCAGGCTCGTGGCAAGGTCACGGACGAAAGCAACAGGGTCATGGTTTCTTGTCGGCGTTATCTCGAGAAAAGATCAGAACATGCTCTAAATGCAACTCAACCAGTCTGTCGAGAAAGATTCCCGAAAGGTTCTTTTTGCCAAACCTAAGACCAAAATTTAAGGTCAAGCACCAGATCAACTCCCACCGCAAGATCCCGGCCAATCTCCGGAAGAAACTCGACAAAAAGCAAATGGAGAGCCTTTCTGAGGAGGCCGCCTTTGTCGTGGCTGTGAAGGCCGAGGTCCTTCAGGCCATGCCCGTGGATCCAAATGCGCTGCACACTGGCTGGGTTGAACTCTATGAAAATGGAGATCCGGGCGTGGTCTTGGAAGTCCAGAGTGCAATCATGAACAGAAGTTGTCCAAACGTGTCCGAGATTGCAACGCTCGCCAGCATCATGAACAAGCACACGGGCTCTACCCCCCTACCATCAAAGGCTGTGATGGAAATGGAGAAGCTCGAGGCAGAGACCTTTGCATTGAAAATGAAACAGCTTGACTATGACGTACAAGCTCTGAGGGTTTCGAGGGCCAAACGTACATCGTGGCAGCTCCAAGTGCACCATGCTAAGCTGCAATACCGTGTGCAAACCTTCAATGAATCAATCAAGGGCTCCAGGGTCATCACCTTTGCAAACACGGACGAGCTTATTCGCTCCATCACAGCTTTCATGGGAGAGAAAACTGCCCAACTGAAGCTTGATGAGTCGGGAAATGTGTCTAGACTTGAAAATTGATAGCGATTTAAATTGTTTTGTTCCCATCATGCAACAAACTTTTGATGATTTTCCGATGTGTCTCGACCAAGTATTTTCGCGCCAATTCTTGGCTGTCATGTTTCGGTGTCAGTATTGTGGTAAGACGACCAGCCGGGTATTCATGGTTCATGGTGGAGTGGAGCAACACACGAGGCATGCCTGCTGTATCTCAACTGGTCTGCTCCCAGCACGGTTAAGAACGCCACGCAGGCTGCGCAGGCTGGGGCTGCAGCCTTCATTCTCGGCCAGAGCGGACGCAATGTTGGGATGATGCTTTGCCCAGAGTTCACCTACCGCAAGAATGAGCTTTGGCTTCTGGAGCACGCGATCACGAAAATGCTTTGCCACAAAGGGGTTTCTTTGGACCGATCTTTCACGCTTCAGTTCCAGAGCAAGGCCTGGCCACTCCTTATGAATGAAGTAAATTGAAAGGCGGCTAGCAAGCTTCTTCAGGAACTGAGACTATAACTATAACACCACTGCCTTAATGTGATCGGCTCCCCTCTCTTGCCAATTCAGTGAGGGAATGAGATTCAACACTGCCCCGCAGGTTGACGCTAGAGACAATGTTCGGCCCTTGAATTATCGTGGACGATTCCTCGAGGGGGTCTCTGCTAAATTGAAAGAAAAGGACTTTCTATGGCGCAATGCCCTGCTTTGGAAAGAAGGCCGCACCGAGTATGCGACGCAAATGTTGACAAAGGATATGGTGGCTGTTGAAGCAACATTGGAGGATTCATCTACTGGTGCAGTCATGGCAGCCCCTGATTCCGAAGAGTACCTCTTTGGCGGCGCCCGCAAAGTTGAACAGGTCGGTCAGAATGCCTGTGAGAAGTTGCTGCAAGGGATGATGAAGGACCTTTCCCTCACAGGCCGTTCGGGGGTCTTTGTCATTGACTTGAACATGAGCGTGGGGAACATGTTCGAGGCCTTTGCCGCACTCAAGTCTACTTGGAACATGCCAACTTACTATGTGGGATGCACGGACGATCACGGAACTGCCGAGTGGTTTGATCTACACAAGCAGGTGTCCTGCAGTTGTTTGAGAAGACCGGTTTTTACAGCATAATAAGCCGTAGCCTTGTTCAACCGATTGAACGTCTTCTCTGAAAACTGATAGGTGTATTCATGCAAAGTCCTTTTTGTAGGAAAACCTTCTGTAGGAAACACAACAAAGCATTACATATAACACCTAGTCATTAGTAGATTGATCGTTGGAAACTTACGACTCAGGAGTGGCTTGCCCGCTTGCACATGGATGGTTCTTTGACCGTGCCTGGGTTTGCGAAGCCTGCCGAAGAATGCCCTGCCGATCTCCTTGAGAAAGAACCTGCACCACCACGGCTGAATTTGCTGACGCCAAGACAGGACCTTTACCCCCTTATCCCTGACGCACTGATGAAGGACGGGTGTGCACATATAAAGTTTTACGTGTACATAATATCATAAGAATATGTGGATTGTAGGCAATAGTTGGGAATGTTTGGCACTACTGCTAGAAGCTATGTACAAACTAGGTTTGCATCTTGAGGTGTAATGCAGCTTGTGGATCAACTAAATAACAAAGAGCAAGCACATTCCCTGACAGGAGTATGGAGCCCATCCCGAGTTCGGCGACGCCTTCTCCAAGTTCATGGACCAGCTCACGGAAGAGTTCGGGCCCAGGCCTTCGGAGACAGAGAAAGTAGATGAAGAGTAGATTCTTAGATCTGTGTATATATGCTTCCAAATGTGAGCAATG